AGCAGGATGCAGCGCACCCTTCATGCGACTCGCCGAATATCTCACGGCGCTTCGCGCTTGGTGATGTGAGAGCCTGGTCCGGTGAGAACCCGGCGTGCTCCGTCCCGGCTTTGTAGGGATGCGAGGTCAATGGTCTAACGACTACGGCATGCACGACTATGAGTACACCCCCCACCCCCCCCGACCCCGTTTTCGCCGCGCGCGCGTCAAGACCGGGGACTTGACGGACGCCCACTCCCTCGTGGCGGGCACGCCTGTCGTCGACGAGTGCACCCAAGACTGGATCTTGCTGTCGGCGGAGGTAGGAGACGGGAGCCTGGTGTTCGAGGCGGAGAGAGCCCTCGACACGAAAGATGATCAAGATCGGGTCTTCTCCGATGACAGCTTCGAGGGTAGGAGGAGTTGTTATTGTGAGAATGTGCATACAACTACGGAAAACTACAGCACTACCCGCTAGAGGTAAATGATAGCCACAGCAATCCAAGAAAATGTGTTGAAATATGTGCTGTGAGTGGGAGAAGAAACGGCTGGATACTGAGTTTGGTGCAGCAGGGTTCCGGAGACAAAAGAAACGTCGAAATCGGGTCGTCGAGTCAGTACCTTATCCCGTCACCACACCGTCGTAGAGTTCAGGTTGTCGTTCAAAATATAGGATACTCGGCTGAGCTGTCGGTGTGTGTATCTTACACCCGTCTTGTTCCTTTTCGAGGTGAAGATTTTACGTCTTGTTTTCCCAATGCAAATGCGTTTTTTCGCAACTGCGGGCCCGCCCTGTAGCCCAACGCTCACATCCCAGAACCACATTCGATAAGGTCAGTCTTTGTCCGTTGTCAATAGAGAAGAAAATGAGCATTTTTCGCGCTGTGCAGACATTCTTCACTTTACTGCGGGCCCGTGTGCCGTGCATACCCCAGTACCTCTTGCTCCATGTCGTGAAAGTGAAAGCACAGTGTGCCAAGCAATAGGGCAGCTTTCCCCACCCCAGCCACCCCCCTTTGGTCGTCCCGCATGTGACATCGTCGATCCGTAGAGCGATATTGTGAGGCATATGGGTGCCCTTGGTTGGGAACGGTTACATCGGGAGTCGGTCGCTCGGTATTGTATTGTTGGATGCCTTGATGCTGCGAAGGGAGCTGTGTTGCGGAATTGACCCGGTTTTGTCACCAGTCAGCTTGGAAGGTAGCTTCGAGATTAATAGCGTTCTCGACTTGGGTAAGTTGAAGCCCGACCGTTCCAGCTCCCCCTCTACGCTTACTATCAAGGGAAGATTGCAGGGCTCCGTGTGATCCTCGAGGTTGGGAGAATGGCGAGACCCGCGCCTCTGCGCCTGCCCCCTCCCCCCGGTTGCTCGAACCGTATCCACGGAACCAACCACCCCTACTCCACTGATCATGCCGCCAAGCAGCGAAACCGCAACCGCCTGGCCGAGATTTGCCGTCCCAAGCTTTCCCGGCTGCTGAAGGCTCGATTCCTAGCTGACGGTTCTACACACGGCAGTGTGTGAGGTCACGCGGCAGACGTAGTCTAGGGAGAAGTCAAACCCAGTACCATCATCTTCTTGCAAAACTCTACTGCTGATGACGTCTGTCTTGAAGATGTACACGCCAAGGAGGTAGAGACCACATGTACCGCCGTTGTGTGTTTACATCACAGGAGCTGTACCCACGCGACTCCTCGCCGCGTGGGGGGACTCCGACACCGTGGGCTACCACGACGGAAACTTCGCCAAGGGGCAGGTCGTCGTGTTCGGCGGATCGGAGAACGATGACGCCGCCGACCCGGTGATCGACGTCAAGACTAGCGAGGACGTTCTGTTCTTCGATGCGGCGCCAGTGAGTCGCAGGGTGGGGACGATAATTAGTTTGCCCCGGGTTAACATCACCTTGTGCAGACGATAACGACGGAGGATGCCCTGATATTTCGGAAGCACGTCTTCGTACCTTCACACGGATGGGCTGCTACTGTGTTAACGTCTAGTCACCCGCCGAACACTCCCAACATTTAGCCACGCCTAGCGTCAGGAGTTGACATGGCCGCTTTCCAGGGCAGGTCGCTATTGCGGGGACAGCGGCTGATGGTCGGGGTGTAGTGGTGTCACGCGATTTTGTGATCCCTATATACACAGGCCATGTCGCCACACACGGGGTCGCTTACCCAGGTCCACCACTGTAAAGGCAATGTGCTGCCTAAATGTGAACAGCGAGGTTGAGGTACACGACCAAGGTTACGTTTTGGCCCCTCTCACAGAAACGTATATTTGACGTGAACGCGTGGGCTCTGTGTGTTTTCGTGCAAATACAGAAGGCTTGCAAAATACGGCACCGCAAACATGCAAAATCGCGGACCATGTTGGGTTCATCTGACCCTGGCCCACCGCCAGTAAACCTTCAACGCTTCATCCTCTTCCCTGGGAACAAACTCGTCTTTGCTTGTCCCGTTGCGATATTTCGCCCGCCGCCGCGTCCGCTTTGAAAATATTCAGAAAAACTTCTCCATCCCGACTGAGCGCACCTGGTACGAAGACACTTGTATCACGGCCTCGGAACTACCAGACCTCGACGAGGTAAATTTCGGTGGAAGCGGTATTTTTCCATGGACGCGGTAATTTTCCACGGAAGAGCTAACATCCTTCCATGGAAAAGGAAAATGTCCGTGGAAGAGTTGATTTTCCGCGGAAGATCTAATTTTCCGTGGAAGACATAAATTTCCGCGTAAGGATCGTGGTTGCACGAGAGACCGACAACAGTGCAATCGGACCGACCGTACATTTTCGTACTAATACACCAGCCCCCACAAACACTTGTGAGGCTGCGTCCGACATGGGGGGCAACACTAGCAAGCTGCTGGCGGAGCGTCGCACGTTTGCTTGACACTCTGACCTAGTCCCGTCGGAACATAGACTCGACAAGTCCACGGCTTCTCTTCCGAACGTCGAAATTTCCTGTGCGTGTCCCGTCTTCTCGTTCCCCGTCGCGTTGCTCTTGCCCTGATCCTCATGCCGCTCAATTCCTCCCCCCCCCGGCGTTTGCCGCCCACCAGTACCACGTCATCGCTTTCGAAGGCTTGCTCCAAGCCGACACGGCCGAGTACGTGCATCACCTCGTCTTGACCGGATATTATGGTGCATCCGACTGCGGGAACGCCTGCTACGAATGGCTGGACGAAATGTTCGCGAGCGAGGACGGCTCCGACTACTCCTCCTCCACCGTCGAAGCAGAAGAAGGCGCTTCGTCCTCGAGCCCCTCTGGCTCCTCCTATCCTTACGACGACTCTTCGACATCGACCTTCACCGAGTACTTAGAAAACCTCAACATCACCGTCCCCTCCGTCTGCAGCAACTTCGGCGAACAAGCGGACATCTTCCTATGGGCTCCGGGGACGAGCAACCTAGAGCTGCCCGACGACGTCGGGTTCCTGTTCGGCAACGAATCTGGCGGTTTCAACTCCCTGAATATTCAGACCCACTACAACAACCCGGACGGGGTGAGCGGCAAGAACGACAGCTCCGGCGTGCGCGTGTACTACACCGAGGAGCTGCGGCCGATCCAGATGGGCGTGATGAAGCTCGGAGATCCGTTCGTCGCCCTCGAAGACCACCCCTTGCCGGACGGCAAGTCCAGCTTCTCGTTCGGTTGCCCGGGTACTTGCTCCGACACAAACTTCGAGGTATGTGGAAGCAAACATAGTTCTTGTTGCTGTTTGTCCCTGCTCTGTTGTTATTGTTGTTGGCTTGACGTCAAAAATCGTTCCGGTCTCCCCTCGTTACCGTCTACTATCCGTATTAAGTAGTCCAACTGACGCAGACGCTTTCCATCGTCACAGAGTACGGGGTCCTTGTTCGGTGTGTACGTGAGGTACGGCGCGCTCGTTTTTGGTCTGTACTCTACGGGGTCTCTTAGTGTGTGATAGAGAGAAGGTGTTGATACGTCGGTGCTCCGCATGGCATTCTCACTACCTCTTTCTTCTCTGGGCGTGGGTAATGTACGCGCAGTTTGAGTCAACGACACACATCTCTCTTCTCTTCAGGTGGCGCCCGTGCGATGAACCGTGCCCACACAAAAGGCCGGGGAATTGCAACAATAATACCGATCTGGCGCAAGCAAGTTTTTCCCTGTCTTATCTCCTTGCGTCATTCTGTCATCGATCTTGTGGTCTTCCTTCGCAACACAATCATCTTTAGTTTCTTTCGTTGTTCCTCAGGAAGAGGAGGTTACCATCTTCAACCACGTGCTCCACATGCACGAGAACGGGCAGCGGATGGTGACACACCAGTATCGCGACGACGGCGAGGGAAACGATGAGCTGATCCACACAACCGAAGTCGAGTACTACTCCTTCCTGCAGGCCGGCGCGCACGTCGTAACCGTCAACGGCAGCGCCACCATCAAAGTGCGTGAACCGGATGATTTTGTGATAACATCTCAGACTTTGTCGACGAAGCAGCGCGGTGGTGATTGTAGTGCCTCAGGCTTGCTTCACGGGCGAACGGCATGATGATGACAGTTCGTTTCTCGGGACTTGAGTCGTGCGTGGACCCATCCCCAACTGGCGTCGACTTAAAAAATCTCCCTCGTGGTCGGGTTGGTCAAGAAGTACAACGCTACAGTACCACGATCCCTGGATCCAGGTGTCCGCCGAAGGGACGAGTCTCAGCTTTTACCTTCACCCCGTCAGTCCATCCCAGGTTGTCCGAAAAATAGACCACCGTTCCATCGGTCGACGTACCGTTGGGGATACCATTCAGTTTGAGCCTGACCCCGTTTCCACCCGTCCCTGCCCGCCCACGCTCGAAATTTTCCAGAAAGGAGACAGTTTCACGACGCAGTGCATGTACGACACGTCTCTCTCTTCGGTTGACTCGGCCAATGTAACGTTCGGCCTGGGGTCAGAACAAGAAATGTGAGTGGGCCCGAAATGGAACAGCAACCATCTCAGGGCCAGGTGTTCACGGAGGAGAGCGACCCAGCGGGAGGTTTTCGTGTTTTCCCAAGGGGCTAAGCGGAGCGTTGTTCTCCTCCGAAGAATAAGCACGGAGGGGGCAGGAGACTGTTTTCGTGAAGCTGAAAACAGTGTCGCAGAGCGGAAACTTAACCGCTCCGCTTCGTATCCAAAACGTTGTCAATAACCGCTCCGTGAACACCGCAACTGCTGTGACAACACACACCCTAATCTGTCGAGCCCGGGTCCGACCAGATTTCATCCGTCCTCTTGGTGATGACATCGCTCGGTCGCTTTACTCGTTGTTGTTTTCGTAGCCGCTCACGTTCTGCCGGTTGTTAGGGCCCAGACTTGGCAGAAGTGAGCTAGGAGGTATTGTTCCCGAGCCGTTGTCCGCGCGTGGCGTTTAAGAACACCTTTCGACCCTTACGTAAGCGTCTACGCAGAACCTTGCTTCTTTTGACTCTGCGCAACAACGACTTCTTCTCTCCTCTTGTGCGTTCGACGACGCGCAGGTGCATCGACTACATCTTCTACTATCCTGATCAGAGCCTGCCCGACGGGGGAGCGTGCGGGGTCGGTGCGTGCGATGGCGGCGTTCTGGGCTATGCGGAGCTGGAAGCCGACTCCGACTTCAACCGCACGTTCGGGATAGTGGACACTTGCACCTCGAGCTTACCCGGGGAGGAGGTGGGGCACAACACGGATTCCTTTTCAGATTCGACCGTTTGTACACGACGAAGTATAAGAGAAAGAAACCTGTATCGAAAGCTGTACGGATGGGCGTGCAATAAAGAACACGAGGAGGTTCCACACGCCACGAACTAACGCGCGAGGGTGAACCATTGGACCGCAGGTAGCAGGTGTAAACTTTCTGGCGGTTCTGTTGCTATTGTTCTCCAAGCAGCAAGTTGTTTTGTTCATCGTATAGCGTCCTCACCCGCTTCTGACCTTAGGTGAGTATTGTCTTTCCCTGCTCCCCGGCTAGGTCCTGAATGCAACCCACAATCCCACCCCTTGCATATCGCGTGCCACTGGTCAGCACGTGCTAATGTCCCCCCTTTCCCCCACCCAACACCACGCCGCTTTGCTCTCAGGAGGGAAGCGACTCGAGCTCCTCGTCACGTGCGGCCCAGCCCCTGCTCGGACTGTTGTTTGCGGTTTCCACCATCATCGCAGCGCTCGCGCTTGAGACCATCATGGCGTAGGCTAGTAGCTCCCTGCAGAACACCGCGCTACTGGGATCAGAACGCGTTTTCGGCTTGAAAAAGAAGAAGGCATTTTCGTGTTGGTTCGGTGCCATGTCCTATAGTCGAAGCCTGTGGCGTCAGCACTCTCATTCAACAGCATTGGGTGAAGGGCTATTTTATGATCCGCTCTCAATTTTCCGCCAAATTGGTGGCGTGGTCCGGGTGGTTCGCTGCCTTCGTAAGGGTCCACAAGTGACCCCGGAAAAGTTTTCTTGGCATTGGAAAGCAAGGCTTAGGAGGTAGGACATGTAGTAGATAGAGGCGCGTTCATCACACCAACCACCTTCGCATTGTACGCAAGCACGTGTCTGTTGTGTTGGTCAGCACGTGCGTACGGGATTTCGGAGTCAGTTGCAGTCAGTCTGTGGGTTCGGTGTCTTGGCTAATGTCAAGGCCGCAATGTCGAGGCCGCTCAAGACCGAAACTATTCGTGTTGTTGTGCATCACTTTTTTTCCGTCACTCAGTTGCTTCTAGTATCCGTTGTGGTCCAGCTGACCGACGGTCATGCATGATTTTTTTGGTTGAATTTATTACTTGTGAAGTTCTTTCCGAACGCCAGGATCGATTCCGACTTCGCTCTGGGAGTCCCAGCTTGGGGTCAGTAATACGAAAAAGGTGCTACTGATTACACCATTGGGAATAAATTTGGATGCCGAGGTGTCCAGATCGGCCCCACTTTCCATCCATGTGCCGTCCCGTTTCAACTGGCTTTCACCGCTGTAAGACAAGAATTAATGCAGCAACCCAAGGGGCGAGGGCTCCGGGGGCTAGAAGAGGAAAGAGTAACAAAGGCTCAGGGGATGAATGCTCTTGGGACAATGTTCACAAGGATACCAAGTCTTTTACTGGTAGCGCCGCTTAAAATGGTCAGGACATCAAGGTCTGGCGGAGGGAGTGTTCGTCGACCAGTGTATTGCGTTGTTCAACCCTGCCGGTGGTATCGCCCCCATTCTTTTTTTTTGTCTTCATTTCAAATCAGCGCTGACAGCGTCGTTTACTCCGACCCGTGGTCACACAGAAGAGCCCCTCTCTACACAGCGACATCTCCCCGGTGGTTTCTTGAATACGAAAGTTAGGTATTCGCGGAGGAACCGAAATTCGGTCACATTTCGCCGCGGGGGCGTCCATATATATATGAACAACATGTCATTAAAAGCTGGTGAAAGCATGTGCGTACGTATGTAGTCGGGATTTTGTTTTGGGCTCCTCGCACCTCATCGTAGTCCCGGTTTGCATACGTACTACTGTGCTAGACAATCCACAAGCTGGACCGTCAGAAAATCTGGCCGATGGATATTGCGAACACAACAATATCGCTTTAGTCTACGCCTCAACCTACATTTTTCCCGGTGGGCATTACGTGAACACCGGACTCCCGTAGAGGTGGTAGCAGTACCGCTTACGCCTCAACCTACATTTTTCCCAGCGGGCATTACGCGAACACCGTACTCCCGTACAGGGGGCAACAATACCGTTTTCGCCTCAACCTACATTGTTCCCATCGTGCACTACGCGAACGCCGGACTCCCGTGAGGTGATAACCGAAGCACCCCTTGTTCATAGTATACCGTCTTGTGCTTAGTCTAGCGTCTTGAGCAGGTTTGCCACCAGCTAAGACGCCTGACTGACTGACTTTCTGCAACCAGCAAACTCCGCAAATCCCGTTCGAACGAAACATGTGCGTGCGTGCACAGTGACGATTGTCGTCGTCAACGAACCTCTACGATCTACATCATGTATGTTCTGCCTCCTATTCCGTGCTCTCCAAGGCGAAAAATACTTAATGGGTAACACGTGAACCCTTACGAAAGCATCGAACCACCCAGAAACGCCAGCCACACTCGCAGAAAATTGGGATCATGACATAACTACGGGTAATTCTATTTACGACACCAGTGTCGTAATTCTTGTTTACGACACCGCCAATATCTCAGCCCACAGAGCTCTGATTGGCGCCAAACCAATTGCGTTGGGTAGATATGACTCTCGTGGCTATCACTCAAGCGTTTTGGGGGCGAAATCCGGTCAGTGGTTGCAGAGATATGCTCAAAAAACGGGGCTCAGCAGCTGTGCCCCTTTTCTGAGCATATCTCTGCAACCACTGACCTCCAACAGACACCAAATAACTTGCGTTGTGGTGCCACGACCCACCGCTATCATCCAAGCTACTTGGAGGGGAATACCAACAGGATACCGAACCCAAGCGTTTTGGGGGCGAAATCCGGTCAGTGGTTGCAGAGATATGCTCAGAAAAGGGGCACAGCTGCTGAGCCCAGTTTTTTGAGCATATCTCTGCAACCACTGACCGGATTTCGCCCCCAAAACGCTTGGGTGATAGCCACGAGTCATATCTACCCAACGCAATTGGTTTGGCGCCAATCAGAGCTCTGTGGGCTGAGATATTGGCGGTGTCGTAAATAGAATTTCCCAATAACTACTCACCCAATTTATTCCTGAGTTTAATGTGAAGAAAACAACACCAACAACAACAACAACTCCTGAGAGTGACGCCCCAGACACAAGCGAGGTGTTTCGCGAAAAAAAGTTTACACCATCATTAGACTATGGTCTCAAGCGCGGGCGCCGCGATTATGATGATTACTGCAAACAGCAGGCCAAGCAGGGGCTGGACGGCACGTGACGAGGAGCTGGATTCCTCTCCCTCCTGTCAACGAGGCGGCGTGATGTTGGGTGCCGCCGAAGTGAAGCATGCACACATACATGTGGTCAGCAACGTTACGCGACGTGCGACGGATGGGGGTGTCGGTCGATTTCAGGAGGTAGCCGGGAAATAGGAAAAAACAGCCATGCAGCGCCACTGGACCACGGGGGAAGCGGTCAGAACAATCATGAGAAACGTGTTTCGAGCACAATTGAACGTTGCACGGAGGCTAACAACAGCGAACCCCGAGGTGTAGGATACACAACACTATGAACTCAATGTGGATGCATCCTGGACTCGTTCGCATCCGTGGATAGAGATGAACTTGTGTATTCTTGATAAGAAAAAACATAAACAAATAGTCTAGTCTATACGGAGGATGCAGATACTTGTAGTGGCGAAGATTCTTCTCCACAATGGAAGCTGTCGGGCTTACAAGGAAGGGCCTTGCAAAACTACAGCCAGGAAGCAGGACGTCGGCAAATGACAACTCCTACCGTTCAGCTGTCATCCCTCGTGCGTTCGTTCGTGGTGTGGGGCCTCCGCGCGTTCTTTGTTGCCACTCACGCTTTAGCATTCGGTACAGGCTTGCTTCTGTTCAACTTCGTGATGTACCAGCGTTCGAATCTGACGAAGAACCCGTGTTGCACACCCCACCTCCTCCTCGGTTTAGCTCGAGGTGCACGTGTCCACCATCTCGAACGTGCGGTTGAAGTCCGAGTCGGCTTCCAGCTCTGAATAGCCCAGAACGCCGCTATCGCACGCACCGACCTCGCATGTGGCGGTGTCGGGCATTCTCTGTTGTATATGTCCGCGACTTGGAAGGGAGAGACTGAATATCGCTTGTATTAGAAACGCAGAAGCAAGAGAAGAGAAGAAGAGTGCTTCCGGAAAACAGAGCAGGGGTCACAAACACAAGAACCCCAAAATGGTTTGTCTACGTTCCTATCTGCGAATATATCCGTTACTGCGGTCGATCAATACCTGTCCGTATCCAAACACACGAACACCCTCCCTGGTTTTTCACGCAAGTGGCAAACCATCCGTGGGGCATGGTTACCCCTGATCAGACCTAGGGACTCTAAACAGTAACGGTGCAAGGGAAAACCCGGCCATCCGGATCAAAAACCCTCGCCTACCCTAAACATATATAACCGTCGCTATCACGGAGGATTCCAACGGCCGCACTTCCAAGACAAGATCAAGGCAGGACAAATTGTACCGGGCACGGGGATTACGCATCTCTCGGTAGCGCTACGGGCGCTTCTAGGCTCCAACCTCGAGTGACGTGCCGGTAAATCCTTCCTGCGTGACGTACCATGATCATAAAGTCCAGTGCTAAACAACAAAAAAAAAAAAAACAGACCACTACCCCGGGATGTTCATCAGAGCATTCCGGTGGTCTTCTAGTTTGGTCCTACCAAGAGCCTTGGTGAGGAGGTCGGCGTGCTGCTCGTCAGTCGGGATGTACTCGACGGAGATTCTGCCCGACTTGAACAGCTCTCGAATGAAATGGAACCGCACGTCGATGTGCTTGCTCCTCGCCGAGCTAAAGGGGTTCTGCACCAACGATATCGCCCCCTGGTTGTCCTCAAGGACCTTGATCTTCGCCCCACTCGTCTCAGGCGCTATGAAAGACAGCACCGCACGCACAAACAAGGCTTCTTTCACGCCTTCCCCGGCTGCAATGTACTCAGCCTCCGAGGTCGACAGAGACACGATACGCTGCGTCTTGCTAGCGTGGCTGACCACGGTACCACCAACAGTTACGGCTATTCCCGTCACCGAACGCCTGCCGGTGTCCCTGTCGGCGTAGCTGGCATCAACATACACCTCTAGGTCTAGCCCCGAACCCCGAACGTAGGTGATGCCGAGGTCCATCGTGGCGTTGAGATAGCTCAGGATCTGCACGAGCGCCTTCCAGTCTCGCATGGTGGGCGCATGAGCGTTCCGTTGCACTGCGTTCAGAGCGGTGGCGATGTCCGGCCTCGTAAATGTCGCAGGCCACATCAGACATCCGATCGCCTGCCTCACTGGCTTATCCACCCCGGGCTCGTCATCTCTCTTCGGCCCTAGATCGGCATTGGGGTCAGCGGGGGTGGATGCGGTCGTCGTGATCCCAAAACGGTCCATCAGTCCTGCAATGTACGCTTTCTGGGACAGTGTGGTCGTTCCCAACTCCAAATCCCTTTCAATCGCACATCCATCGTACCAGGTGCACTCCCCCAAATCCTTCACAGGAAGTGTCTTACGCAGGGAAGTGAGCAACTCCTCGCCCTCTTCTTCCGACCCTACGTACATGATGTCGTCCACGTAGATCACGATGATGCTCACTACCTTCCCATCCACGATCTTACGGAACACACACGGGTCAGCCCTGCACTGCTCGTACCCGCTATCCACCAGGATATTAGCAGCCTCAAAACCCCACTCACGCCCACTCTGCTTCAGACCATACAGTGCCCGTTCTACCTTGAGCACCTTGCCAGCCATGGCACCACTACCATCGGCAATCCGCACATAGAGTTCTTCCTGGATCTTTGCGTGCGTGTACGCCTGCTTAATGTCGAAATGGCGTGTGGGTAGGCCGCCCTCTGTGGCAAAGGCCATCGCGAGCTTAATCGATGAAACGGCTGGGCACGCTGATGAAGAGTGGTGGTAGTCCTGTCCGTGGACTTGGGAAAAACCACGAGCAACCAGACGGGCCTTGAAGTCGGTAATCAACCCCTTCTCATCAGTCTTGTAATCGAACACCCACTTCGTACTGACTGCCTTCCGACCTTCAGGGAGCTTCTCGATTTTAGAGAACGTCCCTGTTTTCTCATGCCCGTCCATCTCCTTCTTGATTGCCTCGTCCCACTGCTTCCTGTACTTAGACCATTTCACGTCCTCGTACGTCAACGGCAGAGCCTCTACATCGTTAGGTTTCTGCCCGATTGGCGAGGGGATACTTAGCTCAGGGTTGCTGCAGTCGATGTTGAAAGGACGTTCCACCGGCACGTCCGACTGCAGCATCATCTCTTCAATCTCAGCCTGTAGGGCCATTTCCTCCATCTGGCGCTCCTCCACCAACGACCGTTGGAGATACTCAGCGACGAGCTCCTTGCCTCCCTCCACCTCCAGGACTGTTGACAGCAAGGCCTCCTCGGCGGCCTCCTCGGCGGCACCCTCGGCGGTCCTCTCGGCCTCCGCTAGCTCCCGTGTCTGCTTCCGGGTGCGACCGCGCTGCAGCCCGTAGCGCAGTGGGCCCTCCTTCGAGGCGCCCCAGAGAAGTTTCTTT